TTTTTTTTTTTTTTTTTTTTTTTTTTTGTGGAAGTTTGGATTTGCATTGTGATGTCTTCTAAAGGGTTAATGGTGGTGCAGGAGTTCACTAGCAGTATGTTGGAAGGATCTAAACAGTGGAAACAGACGGGCTGAGTTCATGTGAATGCAATAATCGGGCCAAAAGAAGCAAAAGTGAACTAACATCGCTGGCAAAACTTTATAGGCAAACTGAATTTGGGATGGATTTTTTGGAGGAGTGGGTAAAAAGAGTCTGTCAGGTCACCCAAATAAAATGCTTAAATATTTATTGAAAGATATTTTCCCTCAAACTTCTGTGTGCTGCTGTAAAGTTTGAATCACTTAGAAATAATTTAGACTGCATATTTATTCTGTTGTTTTCATCTGTCTAGGCTGGGGCTTGAAGCTAAAAAAGAAGAAAATCTTGCTGATTGGTTCTCTCAGGTGAGTTTGTCTTTTTTTTTAATTGAATATTTTTTTCCCTTCTCTTATGAATTGTCAAATATGACCTAATAAAGGTTTGTCTTATAGTCTTTTAGGTTGTTACCATTACAAACATTTTTTGGTAATTTCTGTACAGCTCATTCTAAATGCTGAGTAAACATACAGAGCTGTAAAGTCTTGGCTATTGGTTCTGAAAAAGCTAAGTGAACATTTTTTATTAAATATATTCTAAAGATGAAATAAGAGCTTAATAGATTTTACAATCAGTTTGAGTCAAGCTCATGACAGTTTAGAATAGACTTCTTCACATCTGCTGCTACGTTTTTTTATGTGAAATTTGTTTTGACCTTTATCCAGCTTTTCAAGTAGTATTACTACTTTCAAGTAGTAATATAAAGTAAGATGGGAATTTAAGGTGCATTGGAAAGTATGGGGGAAGCTTAGTATCTTACTAATTTATGGCTAATGAGGTAGATTTCAAAGTTGTCAATGGTACCATTCACTAACAGCAAAATATAAGTCTTGTGTTTTATAATTATAAGCCAGACATTTATAAATTTTATAAGCTCATTTGATCATAGAGGTTAGTTGATTGCCTTTTCTTGTAATGAAGCTTAGTTGTGTGTGTAGGCATTTCAATTAAGTTTCAGTAGGTCTGGCTAGTTTATAGAGACCATTTAATAGAACAAGTTTGTACAGCAATATAAAGATGTTACAAGCTCTAGGAGCACTAGCATAAGATATTTGAGACAACTCTTTTTTTTTTTTTTCCCTTAAATGCTGATTAGCTTTTTGAGAGGGGTGTACAGTCAGGGCTTGAATTACTGTAATGCTTTCTTTGTGCATTTAATTGGAACTTTAATAACTTCGAAGGTGATCACGAAATCGGAGATGATTGAATACTACGACGTGAGTGGCTGTTATGTTCTTCGTCCGTGGGCTTATGCGATCTGGGAAGCCGTCAGAGATTTCTTCGACACCGAGATAAAAAAACTTGGTGTGGAAAACTGCTATTTCCCTATGTTTGTGTCTCAGGCTGCACTAGAGAAAGAAAAAACTCATATTGCTGACTTTGCCCCTGAGGTACATTTCAAAATTCTGTTAAATTTAGTGAGAGTGATGTTTACATGAAAAAGCAACAACTTGCCTGCCAACTTAAGTGTGTGGGTGGGTGATGACTGTAAGCTGTGCAAGCAATTTCTTTTGCTGCTGCTGTTGCCATTATAGCTTTAGGTCAGAGGTCAGCAACCTGTGGCCTATGAAACAATTTTATCTGGCTCACAGAGCTGGAGGGTGGGGGGAGGCAAAGCTTCAGCAGTATTTCTGTGGCACAGGCTTTACCTGTGTAGAGCAGGGGAAAAGCAGAGTTGGCAAAACTGCAGTGGGAGGCGGGAGAATCAGCAGCTCCGGCTATGTTGCTGATGGTGTGTGGGCTGGGTTGGAAGTGGCCTGTGCTTGAAGCTAAGCTTTATTTAAAATGGCCCCCCAGTACAAAATGTTGCTGACCCCTCTTCTAGGTAATGATAAATGCAAGAAGTTATATTTCTGTAGGCTTTATTATAAGGTATTTGTAGGAAACTGAGGGTGTGTTTGTATACAAATGAAGGGGTAGACAGGAGCATCTGTAAATGTCCATCTGTCTGTCTGGGTTTCTTTTGGAGTTATTTTAATGTAACTAAGGTTACTTTATATTAGAATGTCCATAGCCTCAGCGAGAGGATCTTTTTCATTTGAATTGAAAGAGACCAAGGTGAAGGAATTTTTTTTTCTTTAAAAAAAAAAATAGGTTGCTTGGGTTACAAGGTCTGGCAAAACTGAACTGGCTGAGCCAATTGCTGTACGTCCTACAAGTGAAACAGGTAAACTAAATAGTGCCATACATTTTTAGAATGATTAGCTAATACTGCATGACTTGAAGTTCTTTCTGGGAAATCCTGCCTAATGATCACTGGTTGGGAGGAAGAAGAGTGTTTTGTTTTGAACCCCCCCCCACCGCCCCCATAAGACTTCATGAATTTTTGCATGTGCAAAACCAAAATATGTTAGCTGTGGTGGAGAACCACACTAATGTAGTTATACCCCTTCTGGTTAGCTCATTCAGAAGTCTCTTGCATACAAATCACTCAGTTTGTATTTTGTGAATCTAGAGGCATTTTAATTTTCTAGCTCAGGGGTGTCAAACTCATTCATGGGTCAGGCCCATGGATTCCCTTGCTCCCTACTCCTCTCCCATGCCAGATTTAGCCCCTGCAGTGCCTGCTCTGGGACCTGCATTGTGCGCAGCCCCTGCCCAAGCCAGTCCAGGATCCACACCACAGGCAGCATATACCCCCTTTCTTCCCCGCCCCTGGTCTGGAGCTGCTCTGCATGCAGGCATAATCCTGGATCAGGTGGGGAACACCGTATGTGGCACATGTCCCAAGGCCCTGCATGTAGGCTTAGTCTGGTGGCATGTGGGTCAACTTGTACCTATCTGGAAATGTGTTCAAGGGGAACAAAAATGTGGAAGTCCAATCTGTATAAGATGCAAAGCTCCATTGTGCTTACTGTGTAACAAAAAAAAATAATCTTGGATGTTTCTGGTTGGAAAAAGAGCCAAAGAATGTTTTTTCTTTTTCTTTTACAGTTATGTATCCTGCCTATGCAAAATGGGTGCAGTCTCACCGAGATCTTCCTATCAAGCTTAATCAGTGGTGTAATGTAGTGGTAGGTCCAGTATACACACACTTTCATTAGTCAGCTATTTCTTTTTGTTCGTCTGTTTGTTTTTCAAGTGGAACAACTCTTATTGAACATAATAAAAATGACATTGGCCATAAATGATTCAAAGTGTATTAGGACAAACATAAGAAAAAAGATGAAATTCAAATAATAGATTAAGAATTACAACAGTATTTTATTTGCAGTATGTTGTGTAGCATGTCATTAAATAGCTAGTGAAATATTAATGACTTTTCCGATGAATAAAAGCTCTTCGGTATGAAAGTGTGTAGTTTTTTTTTTTTAAACTCGATTTTCCAATGTGGTACAAGTGAAAAATGGAGCTCCCAGGCAATGATGATTATAATGATGATATATTTTTTTTAAACATTTAAAAATTAAATTAATAAAACTGAATTTTAATTGAATTTTAAGTCACCTTTCTAAAGCACCTTTTTTCTTGCAGCGTTGGGAGTTCAAACATCCCCAACCCTTCCTCCGCACTCGTGAATTCCTTTGGCAGGAAGGACACACTGCATTTGCCACTTACGAAGAAGCAGCAGAAGAGGTAAAAAAAACACCGAATGCTTAACTATTTCTCATCTTGTCAGGTCCATCTAGTTCAAGTGACTCTTGCATTTTTGTCTGCATTTTGAACTGCCTGCCTGTTTAAATTATCTCAATTTAGCTTCCATTTATTGCAAGGTAGAGCAAACACCCAAAACCGCTGAAGTAGATCAGTTGTCCCTGCTCTGTCACTTATAAGTATAATTCATCTGTCTATAGTCTTAAGCTTTTTGTATGGTAGGTATTGCATACTTTAGCTAGCGAGCATGTCTTGGAAATAAGATTTTTGAGTTATGTTTTTATGGTCTACAAATGTGTGACTGACTGAGAATCTAAGACAGGGTTGGCAACATTTTTGGAAAGTGCCAAAATCACCCCAGCCTCCACCCATGCCTCGACTTGAAGTGCCAGAGATGGGAGAGCTGCAAGGGGCCCAATCCTCGTTGCTGGTGGTGGCTGCATGCATGCCTCCGATAGATGGCAGGGGAGGGGCCAGGGTTGCGCTGCCCCAGCCCCTTCCTTGCCATGTGCTGCAAGCTGCATGTGCACCTGTCACTGAGCTAGTGCTAGGGCACTGACTCCATTGCAGCTGTGCATGTACTCTAGGCAGATGGTGCAGGAGTGACCAGGATTGTGCTTCCCCAGCCCCTTCTCTGCAATGCACTGTGAGCTGCATATGCACCTGCTGCTGCCATGGAGCCAGTGCTGGGGCTCTGGAGCCCAGTGAAGCTGTTTGTGGCCTCCCAGCTGCCTTCCACAGCTGGCTCAGGCTCTAGGTAGCTGTAGCAGTGAGCTGGAAGGCTGCAAACAGCTGTGCTGGGCTCCACAGCCCCAGCTCCATGGCAGTGGTGACAGCTGCACATGTGCCTCTGGATGGATGGTGGGGGAGGAGCCAGGGTTGCACTGCCCCAGGCCTCTTCCCGGCCATGCACCCAGAGGTGCATGCACAGCTGCCATCACCATGAAACTGGTGCCAGGGCTGTGGAGCTCCATGTAGCTGTTTACAGCCTTCTGGCTACAGCCAGCTTGGGCTCTGGGCAGATGCTGGGAGAAGCTGCCCAGACTCTAGGTCAGCTGTGGTATGCTGAGGAAAATGGCCTCACGTGTCATGCTTTCTAGCACACGTGCCAGGGGTTGCCAATCCCTGCTCTAAAATAAAGTAATCAAGGGAAACTTAAAGGCCGTTAGCCGTCCCCAGCTTAAAATATAGTTTTCGTGGAAAGTGAAAGAAGCACTGGTTTGTAATACTTGAAAAGTTGGTTGGATAAAAACATTTAAATAGAGAGCAGTCTTGAATCAGGGTCAAATCCAATGATTCTTCAGGGTGGATTGGACCCATGGGCCTTAGGTTGGTAACCCCTGGGTTAGATGACCTAGTAGCATCAGTTTGTTGGATTTCTAATTCCTAGATTCTTCCCATTCTGGATAATACTTTTATAACCAATTCAGGCTGTTTTTCATGAAGCACCTCTGTAGATGTTTGAAGAGAAGCATAACAAATACAGAACTCTATAATTACCATTTGAAGCTTACAGTATGCATATTATTATGTTTATTAACTACAGCACAATGTTTTCTTTAATCTTGTTTTGTTTCTTAATTTTTCTGCCCCTTAATCTAGAATACAGTGGTATTCTTTTTTTTAGACAAAACCAGGACGAAGATCGCATTTGTCAGTAACATAGCGGTATAAAACAAACATTGCAAAACCAGGAAATTCAGAATGTGATCTTAAAGACATCCAGACAGCCTTTATTCTGCCCTATAGCAATGTCTAGCAGTAGCCACACACTTTTATCTGTTGGTGCTTACTGTGTCATGTGAGATGTTAATTAAAGACCTGTTTTATTTTTCCTTTCACTCATGTTACTTGAAGGTACAGTTCACACCCTGAGATTTTTAATTGGGTTGCTTTTCTTTTAAATTAAGATTAAACCCTAAATTTCCTGGGTGAGTGATTCTTGTTTATACTGTTAAGTTACTCATATGTTTTCCCAATCTTAATTCTGTTTCACAGTAGTTTTTCTTTGGGGGAATTCCTTTTTAACCTAAGTTTTCATAGATTTTTAGTACTAAAAGTAATCAAAGAGAATTTTACCTTGTGTACTGTACCTCCTTCCTAATATTAGCTGTTGTTTCAAGCTTCCTCTCTCTAGTCAGGCTATTTAGTCTTCTGTTTGAACCCCAAAAGCGGAGCAACAGATTGGGCAGAGAAAGGAGATCAGAGTGGCATTCAGAGAAGTTGTGGAGCTAGTTTCTGGCATGCCTGCTAACAAGATTGGTCCCTACTAATGTAGGATATCCATAGTCAGTTCTTGTTGGTCTCTTTGCTATGCTCTTTTAGCAGTTTTCAATCTGAAGTGTTTTTCTTACTGTCACCATTCAAATGCTTACCCTTCAACATTTCTTTCATCAACAAAGGTGTGTAATCAGCCCCATGATTTAATGGAGTGTAAGGATGGAAACAAGGCTTGTATATCTAGTAGGCTGTTAGCTGCTACTCTTTCCATGATCTCTAGATGGTTCCAAAATTTTTGTCTTTTGAGTGAAAACACTGTTAAACTTTGGGTGCAGGCACTCTGCAGCAATTTGATTTTACCCTGGGGTAAAACTGGAGCACATACTTGATATGCCTACAGCACAGTCTTACACCATCAGTTTAAGTCACTCCACTCAGGGTTTAAATGGCCTTTAAAGTAAGGAATCTCTCTACACTGGTGTACCAGTTATGTGTCACTTGTGAATTGGTCTGTTTCATTCTGATGGGTAGCTGTTTTTTCCATGCAAAGTGGCTTTGTGCCACCCAGAGGCCAGATGTCCACTCAGCTCTGGAGTGTAGCTTGTGTATCTGCTCCTGCCTATGGAATAGTGTGGGGTGAATTGCTCCGTAGTAACCATGCTGTTTACATACCCTTTGGCCTTCCTAGCAGCCCAAGCTCAGTGTTTAACAGAGTAATGAACTTTGAGTCCTAAAAAAGTTAAGTGACTTTCAGCCAAGGTGCCATGGCACCACTGTCAAGTGTGCAGACGTGATTCACAAGAACCATAGAGTTTTCAGATAGGATTGCATATGGTTAAAAAACATTCTGACCTGTTGTTATCTTTCTGAGTTCTTTGCAACAAAAGAATTGGTCTAATATTTTTCTGTAGTCAAAAAAAGGGAAAACTAAGAACTGGCATTTTCTGAGGAGTGCCTTGAGTCTAAAAAGATTGAGAAACACTGGCCTAGTTAATCGATGCAGTATGGTACATCTAAGGTTCAGGGCAGAGTAGAGTGGGATATACCAAGTTGAGTTGAATGTTATAATTACTTTGTGTAAGCAGAAGTTCAGAGGAGGTGGGGGAAAGTAAGTGTGACTTGAGGTAGGGCTATCAAAAGCTTGCTCTTGAGGAAGGGGCTATGTTAGGGAGACTAGCACTGTGTTGAAGGGGAAGGTTTTATTTAAAACAATAAAAAGGAGTTCTGTACTCTTCGGGACTTCAAAACAATCTCACTCTGGTGATATTTTGAGTTGAAAAGATGGAAAAAGTTTTAGCAATTTTGAACAGTGAAATAAAGTTAATACATTTTTGTTTTATAATAGGTATTACAGATTCTTGATCTGTATGCTAGAGTATATGAAGAATTCTTAGCAATACCTGTTGTGAAAGGAAGAAAAACTGAAAAAGAGAAATTTGCAGGCGGTGACTATACAACAACAGTGGAGGCATATATATCTGTTAGTGGAAGAGCTATCCAGGTATCTACTGTAAAACATAAGTTTTCACTATTTTTTTTTTTTTTAAAAGCCCCATCCTTCTGTGCCTTAGTGATCAGTTTAATGCAGTCATGCTCCATCTCCAGCCTGCAGGCCAAATGCAGCAAGCAGAGCTATCATATCTGGCCTGCAGGGCTCCCCCACAGGTCTTGAAATTTGGCAGCAGGGGGCTAGTAGCTATTAATATGGCCACCCTCTCCCTCCCGTGTATCTGCATTAGGGCTGGATCGTGCTCCCTTCCTCTTTCCTTCCCCCACTCTTACTGCCCCTCAAAACTGAGTCAAACTCCTTTCCCCTGCATGGCTGCATTGGGGCCAGCCTGTCCCACACCGTGCTGCCCCAGGTGCCAGATTGAAGCCACCAGCTGGATCCAGCCCACGGACAGACCAGGCACCGCCCATCCAGCTGGCAAGGGAAAAAGGTTGAGCATTACTGATTTAACTTTTTCTTGAACAGAATTTTCTGTGTGCATCTTTCAGGGAGCAACATCCCATCATCTTGGGCAGAATTTTTCTAAGATGTTTGAGATTGCGTTTGAGGATCCTAAGAAGCCAGGCGAGAAACAGTTTGCTTATCAAAACTCTTGGGGCATTACAACTCGGACCATTGGTGTAATGACCATGATTCATGGAGATAACATGGGGCTGGTACTGCCACCTCGGGTAGCTTGTGTTCAGGTGGGTAAAAACAGTTTGTGTAATTTGTTCAGACAGGAATGGGAAAAAAGTCACTGTCTTATTTTGTATTGGCTATTTGATGAAAAGAACTCCTTAAATAGATTCATCTATGAATCTATAAATGTAGAAAATTACTTTTTTGAGTGTGCAGTTTGTACTCAGAAATATACTGGATTAATATTAAAGTAGTTCTAGAGTCTCTAGCTTCTTGCGACAAACTGGGCATATTAAATCTCATGTTCATCCAAAACAAAATGTATTTGTAATGCTTGATGCAAAAGGGAGTTTGAAAACAAACAAACAAATAAACTTCCTTCGTAAAGTGCCACAAACATTTTTCTTTCTTCCTGTTAACTGTCTATATGCTTAGTAATTAAATTAATTAGGAACACATGCTTGCTGTAAATTTTTACTTGTATTATGTTGTAGGTTATAATTATTCCTTGTGGCATCACAAATTCACTTTCTGAGGAAGACAAAGATGCCCTGCTGAAGAAATGCAATGACTACCTTAAGAGGCTGCTCAGTGTTAATATTCGTGTCCGTGCTGACTTAAGAGACAATTATTCACCTGGTTGGAAGTTCAATCACTGGGAGTTAAAGGTAAAATTCTTTTCAAATACAAATCTGTAGTGCCAAAAGCACTGCATCCTGTTGTGGTCTTTCTAAGTTCTTTGCAGCAGAAGAATTACTCCATTATTTTTCCGTAATCACATGAAAGCTAAAAGCTGACATTTTTCTTTGGGTGCCTTAAGTCCAGCGAGATTGAGAACCACTTTTGTAGCTGAACAGACTGGAAAATTTGCAATGGCCTTATCATACCACAACAGAAAGCCTTTCTGTTTACCACAAAAAGCTCAAATATTGTAGTGAAGGTAACTTTTTAGAGGCTTTCTAAGTATAGCAGTGAAGAACAAGGTATTTAAAGCGGAGCGAGTAATTTGGAGTAGTATGAAGAATACTATGTAATTTGGAGTAGTATGAATAATGACGGAGTTACAACCCGGTAGCATTATTTGTATTTTTCCTATTTTTATCCAGAGTTTTTGAAGTTTACGTAAATACTCAAATGCTAACCTCCAGATAAGATGATCAAAGCTTTCTGTTAAAGGTCATGAAAAGCTCCTATTATAGGTAGAGAAACAATGTGGGCACATTTTAGTGTTATTTTAAATCCTTCTATTTTGAAGGAACTATAATAAATCAGTTGGTGATCCAGAAATTTCAATAGGTTGCTTATTACCTCGGTTTGCAACCTTAGCATATTCTGATATACTTTAAAATGTGCATTTATAAATTGTTTATAAATGCATCCTTAATTTAAAATGTGACTGAAAATGTCATGAAATGTCATAAAAATGCATATTTAAAATACGATATTAAGGTCCTTTGGAAAAGTGAGAGACTTAACATTTGAGAGCTGAGGATTCTTGTTCTTTCTGTTGAGAACTGCAGTAATGGACAAAACTGATAAATACTTTTATCTGAATACTTTTGATCATTAAAATGAGGGGATAAAAGTTAGCATTGCATGGTATATATGGATACCCCACAGGCTTTCACAGTTGGCTGTGTTTATATCTTTGACTTTCACAGTATTAATTGTATGAAATTATGCAATGCATAATTTATCATTTTCTTTATTTGCAATAATGGGAGAATTTCAGCCTCAAGTTTTGACATGACTATCAGAACATGAAAACAATATAGTTTTAAGACACCACGACTTACAGGAAAACTGTACTTATTTTGCCACTGTAACTACAAGTTATTAGAGTAAGAAGTTGTGCAGTTTTTTCACTAAGAACCTGTGGAACATGTGAGGGGGAATTTATATTTAGTTTTAAATGATAATTAATGAGCTTTGTCTTGGGAGGCACAGCTTTTTGATGACTTTGGATTTTTTAATATTGTATAATAATGGAGCCAAAATGTACCAGGTATCATTAAGACTATATTGTGCTAGTCACGATGCAGACCTTGAGATATACAATTCTTGCTGAAGCACTGCACACCCTTGAGAACTTATGCTCTAAGGGGTACAATTTGTGAGACTCCTGTAAAGAGATTTTCATGTGAGATTAGGCTGCAGGGGTTTGTGGTGGCTGCTTTAATCCTTTCACTGCGCTGCTTGCTATTCTCAGAACAGAAAGCTATAGCTGCTACATATTTTCCTCAGAATATGAAAATGTCTTGGCAGGTTTTGGAAGTGATGAAACTAATGAATATTCTTATTAACAGTTTTCAAATTTGCTTGTTTATAGCATCTACCTGTAGCTTCTGTCTGTAATTTGCAAGAGCAAATTTTGCTGTAAAAATTGGTCTTCCTGCAATTTCAAAAGTAGTTAGTCCTAAGGTGAGGAAGTCTGTTTTGTACAATGAATGTCAAGAAGGTCCAGAATATGAAGTGAATGGAAAGCCAGAACAAAAGTTATCTTACATAATATTGTAAGTACAGTCAGTTTTTCACTTGTAACAGGGGCAACAATTTTTTGACATTTGGCAGCAGGCTAAAGGAAAAGAACTGCTGTCCTAAATGAAAGGGCAAGTACAACATGTGCCTGTGATGAAACATCAACCTAGCTGGAGAGGGATGTAATGAATTATTGCGCTAGACTAGTAAAAAGTACAGCTATAAAAATGTTCCTGAATGGGAACAAACTGTTGGGTTCCTGTGCACTTAATGGGATGTAAAGTTAGTCTTTGTCATGAAATTTAAAAAGTATGAAAACATTATGGAACAAAGACATATCTTTATGTCTCTCTTTGTTCTAGCACCATCAAAATTAATACTTGTTCAGCTTTAATAGAACTAGTTTTACAGACTTCCTGCTCAAATGTGCTTTGCCATGCTAGGATTAGAAAGTATCAGTGATTTGAAAAACACTTATATTAAATCTAAATTAGTAACACTTTTATTTAAAATGTGAAGAATTAATTTGACTCACCAGGTACGGCAACTATGTCCCAGTTACACTAGCTGACATCATATTGAATAATTTTTAAAACTGTTTTAATATGGCTTTCGTATCAGTATATATAGGGCCTCCAAGATAACTAGGCATTTAAGTAAACATCTACATGAAAAAATCATGGCAAGGTATAGCAAGCTGGTGGATGTGTCTGAGGGAATTAAATATGTTTTTAGAGGTAAATATGTGCAAGTTTTTTTAGATTCTGGCAAGCAGTACTCTTCATGTAGTCTGACCTCTGCGCTTTTTTTTTTTTTAACATACTATTCTACCAGTTCCTCTTTTGTTTTGTTTTTTAATTGTGGAGAACAAACTGCCTGTACAGGTTTCCTTCGCTTTATGCTGTACGTGCATTTGTGGAAAATGGTGCATAACTCAAATTCACATAAAAGGAACCCACTTTACAATATAACAAATAGGGATACTGTCCAAGACCCCAACTGTTCTAATGTGGTATCACTCTGCTTCCAGGGCAGCTGCAGCTCCAGAAGCACAGGCACCAGCTGCCCTGAGCAGTGGCTATGGGCGTTGCTGCCAGGAGGCTTCATGGCTCACAGCTCCCAGGGTACCAGGCTGCAGGGACCGGTGCTGCAGCCCCATCCAGGCACCACTACCCAGCTGGCTCAGCCTCTGCCAAATAACATTTTCTTTCTTCACCTATGGCATGACTCCCACAATGCACCACACAAACCAAGTGACTGCAGGCTTGCACTGCACCAATCGCATAAGAGTGAATTTACCTCGCATATAACGAGTTTTGGTATAAAAAGGGTTACTGCATAAGAGTGAATTCACACCTACGGAACTTGCATAAAGTGAGGGAAACCTGTAATTGAAAGCAGACTGCTAGGGTTACATAACTGGTCATGACAATACTATTTGAGCACAAATAAAACTTGGGAGTTTTATATTTCTTGGTGTTAAGCTCTTGCATATCTTCTTTGGTAGGTAAACTGCCTAAATCACAATAATTTATTTCTTCTGTACCAGTCTGCTGACAGTACAAATTTGAAATCATTGTTTTGGATCTTAGCTAGAAAATTGAGGCTTTGACATGCTGAGATGCTTACTCTTTATTCTTATGTTCAAGAACAGGACACTTTCCATTTGGCCTTTATTTACTCTATATCTGTACCATACTACTTTGCAGTTTGCCATAACAGTTCCTATCTATCATCCATTTCAACATTGTATGCAGATGCTACTCTAAATAGGAGTATCTATAAGTACCTTTTAGTCTAGGAGATTTTAGGAGGTTATGAAGTACTACATGAGACTCCCATTGCTTCCATAATTATAACTTATACAGTGTTATGTGGAAAGGAGTCGCAACATTTTTTTTTTTTATTTGTTTCAAATGGTTCATGACAGAAGGAATCTAGAATAGGTAAAGGTGCAGTTTACAAAGGTGCAGAAACAATCTCAAAGCTTAAGTTTGCTCTAGTCTTGACTACCTCCAAGTGTTAGAGTAGCCATATAATTCCCTTGCTAGTTATGTCAGTGTGTTTAAGAGGAATAAATAATGTTCAATGTAAATTGGCTCCAGATTGAAATGAGTGTTAATAGCAACAGATGAAGAAAGTCTTACTCTTCTGAAACTGACTGGTTCCGCTATCCGTTTGTAATACATTGTCTGCTAATGTGTAGTAATAAAGATAAACTCTTTGATTTTGCTTACAGGGTGTTCCAATTAGGTTGGAAGTGGGACCACGAGATATGAAGAACTATCAGTTTGTTGCTGTCAGAAGAGACACAGGACAGAAGTTGACATTGGCTGAAGATGAGGCAGAGGATAAACTCGGCCAGATTTTGGAGGAGATCCATGCTAACCTCTACAACAGGTTAGACTACAGGAGAAATTGAAATCATTCAGCATATGTGACTGACTTGACTTTATTTTTGCTGAAAAGGAGATTTCCTCATCTGCTTTAGATTTAACTGGGGAAGATAGTCTTCTTCATCTTTCCCTTCTCTGTTCTGGACTCTACATTATTCTGTTTTCACCCCCCATTCAATTAGTGTTTTTAATTAGGAAATCTTCTCAACTAAGACCCGTCTTGAAAGAGCTATGGTGAAAGTATTTTCTTGTATGTGTCAATGCTCTCTTCACTCTGTTTTAGTCCTGCCATGTACTG